ACTAAAACATTGCGTACGCACAAAGCTGTAAATGTGCGTACGCAGAAAAAATTTCAGATGTATGAAACACTGCGTACGCCGAGTCTCACGCATATTCTTTTGTACATCCGAATGAACGTGAAACTGAGCGCAACATGCACGAGCACAAAACCCCTCCCTGCCTCCTCCCCCGTATGAATATGCTAATGACTATGCTAATGTAAAAACCCAACGAAAAAGCAATGGCAAAAGCAAGCAAAAAGAGAAACTTTGAACAGAATGTGAAATGGAGGTGCTGCTTTCGGAGGTAGACCGGAGAAAAGCGGTGTTATTTGCAAGTTTGTTCGGCGGAATTAACAACAAAAGAAAAAAAATAGAGTGGGAGAGTTTAGCTGATACGGTTAACACAGTTGGGTCTGAACAACGCACTGAGTGCATTTAAAAAAGAAATAGTGTGGTTTATATCTGTAAAATGTTGCAATACCCTTCGCAGTCTCAGTGGCGCGCTCGTAAGACGCATGTGATTATGTACTGACACGTTCGAGCATAACTCGGCTCGAATCCAGCGTCTGATGAATTCATTCTTCTTTTTTTTCCCCGCTACATGTCAGATTTTGCCCACTATTTATCACGAGAAAGACAAGTAGGAATCATCAATAAGTTTGTGCATCATATTTTATTTGCACATTTATTGAATGGAAATGTTTCTGATTCACGCATGCAAATGTATCTTCACATAGTGTCTTTATAGCAATGTGCGTGCAGTAGATAGCTCAGATTACATTGGGAAAACAGGCGACCGCTGCAAATTGTGCTTTAATGTTTAGCTGGTCAACTGTATGGTATGGAAATCTTACATACCTACTATATGAACCCGTCTCATACAGCTGCCATTGCAAGGATCAGACACTTTGTAGAGAGGAATTTAACACAACTGCCTCTAGGAGTCGCCAATGGAAATAAAACAGACACGCACAAAAAATGTGCGTACGCCTGCCAGAAACCTGCCGTGAACCTGCGCAAATTTCCACGTTCAGTTCATTGTTAGTAAATCCAAACGTGAGCGATTCTGAGCGTGAAACCTGGCGTACGCAAAGTTTTTGTGCGTACGCAGCGTTGATACATGAGGCCCCAGCAGCCTTCCAGGGGTTGACCTTTTGAAGGGTCCTCCGCACATCAGCAGGGTCAAGTTGAAGTATTACATCGTCCACACAGTGTGGAGCTTTTGTTGGAATGATGTTGTTGTTTACCTCAAAACGGCTGAAGAATGAATTGAGTGAGTTTAAGAAGACTGTGCTGTCCTCACACGGTGGAGGTATAGGCCTGTAGTCTGTTACTGACTGGATGCCTTGCCAGAGGCGTCTAGGGTCATTTATGTCAGTAAAGTGTGACTGGATTTTTCGTCCATAGGCACGCTTTGCTACTCTCAGGCCCCGGTTCAAGTTGGCCCTGGCAATTCTGAGGGCCTCTTTGTCTCCGGACTTGAAAGCTACATTCCGTGCTTTTAGAAGCTCACAAACCTCCCTGGTGGTAATGTGTTTTATGACGGTCACATCTTCTATGCATTTGGATATATATCCTGTCACAGATTCAGTGTATTCCGTTATATTAACAAGCTGGTTGGAAGTGGCAGCCTCCCTGAAAACAGCCCAATCTGTGCAGTCAAAACAGTCTTGGAGGGCTAAAGTGGCCCCCTCAGGCCAGGTTCGGATCTGCTTCACAGAAGCTTTGTTTCTCACTAACAGTGGCCTGTAAGATGGCATAAGTATAACAGAAAGATGGTCCGAGTTACCCAGATGGGGGTGGGGAACAGCTCTGTATGCCTGTTTGATGTTTGAGTAGACCTGGTCCAGAATGTTCTCTCCCCTGGTTGCAAAGTCCACATATTTATAAAAGTGTGGGAGTACTGTCTTTAGTTTGGCCTGATTGAAATCGCCAGCAATTATACAGGCAGAGTCCGGGTTTGAGTCCTGCATCGAGCTCACAGATTGATACAATGTAGTAAGTGTGTCTTTTGTATTCGCACTGGGCGGTATATACACGGCTGTAATAGTCACGGCTGAGAATTCTCTTGGCAAGTATACTGGACAACATTTAACTGTTAAAAATTCTATGTCTTCAGAACAGTGACTTCGGAGAACTTTAGCATTAGTGCACCAGTTGTTATTGATGTAGATTGCCACTCCACCACCTCGTAGCTTACCAGTGAGTGCGTGACTCCTGTCCGCTCTGAATGTTGTTAGTCCGTCCACCTGAATAGCGTTATCTGGAACGCTGTGGTTAAGCCATGTCTCGGTGAGGACGATGGCGCTGCAATCTTTCACCTTCTTTTGTGTATTTAGATCCAATCTGAGATAGTCCATTTTGTTTTCCAGCGAGCGAACGTTGGAAAGCAGAATCGCAGGAAGTGCAGGTCTGTATGGTTTAGCTTTTAGCCTTGCGCTAATACCCGCTCAACTCCCTCGCTTGCTAGGTCTAGCACACCGCTTGCGACGAGTGCTACGTCCCTCCCACCGCTTACGTCGCCTCGAGCATCGGCCAGTATCGGGAGGGGAGACCGCTGCTTTGCAGGCCTCTGGGTCTTGCAGTCGTAGGATACCTAGCTCGTCGAGAATTTTGTGATCCAAAGCAAACATAATTCCAGAGAAATCGTTTGAAAAGTTCGTGTTTCGTAGACCAAGCAGTAGGTCTCTCTTGTAGACTTTTCTCGTACATGACTGAGGCGATTCAGACGACACATTTAACATAAAACGCACATCGTTACACGGAGCCGGAGTAGCCGCTGCCGTACTGGGCGCCGCCATCTTTTTTTAGAGGTGAAGAAAGGATAGAAATGCACCACCTCTGCTCATGAGCTTTCAATTAGATTTGTCAAAATACACCAAAATCAACATTCACCACATCGAGACTGATTACAGCTGGGCTTTGATGCTGTGTGCGCTTCATGCTTTCAACAAAGAGAACATGAGCTGTTATCTTGACAGAGCATATCAGTTCTGCACGGGACAAAAATCATGGAATGAAATTAAGTCATTTACTATCCTGCACATTTGCTCACCGCACATTTTGAAAGCTGTCAGACAGTCAATCCGTAGGCAAACAGATGACAAGAGTCTGGGAGACTTTGCCACCTATGCTTTCGCCAGACTCCAAAATGCCGCCAACATGACACAAGCAACAATTGTGTTCCGTGCACTGTGTGTCCTGCTCACAAGCCCACAAAACACAAGCTGTGTTAAGGAAAGTCTGTCTCTTTTGGAAACTGTCATTTCAAAGGGCAAAGACAATCCACTTGAAGAAAATATGCAGCCTAAAGACTGGGAAATCTATGAGAGTAAGGAAAGGAGAAATTCATTGACCATCATGGCCAGATCACCATTCGTAGCTTATTTTAAGCAAGTTATGGAAAAAGTGAAGAAGGAAATATCAGATGGTCTATCAGAGTTGCCACAAGAGGACAACCCATACTTCTGTCCAAGCATCATCACTATCCTTTTTTACACCTAAGATAAGTCATTATTTGTAACTTTAGATGCCATGGTTTCTAAAACAAAATCTGTCAGTGTTATCTTCATTCTCATCTTCAGCGCTTTACAATTTTTAGCGGTAGTAGCTCTCTCTGTCATCCCAAGCCAGAAGGCATTGACTGAGTGATTGACAGCTGATATTTCAGTGCTAGAGCAGGGGTGGGCCAATAAGAAGAGCACGAAGGCGGGGAAAACATTACGGACTTGGCTTTGGTTACTGCAGCATGTTGACATGACAACTGTTTTAAACCATTCCTGAGCGCTGCGTTTCGCGCTTTAAGTGCAGGGATGCATTCTGCGTGAAATCAAAATGTGGTGAACATTTTGCAGTAAAAACTGGTCGCACACAACAATTTTTTGCACTCGCACAAATGCTCCCAAATATATTTTGAGGTCGCATATTTCGGGGGCATATGCGACCAAAATGGTCGCAATTTCGAGCCCTGTTGTATTTCCTCCAATCTATGACATATCTTTTTGATTTTGGGATCTTTGATTTTATTGATACTCTACTCTGCCTATTGTTTCCTTATTCTTGCTTAAACTTATTTGATCATATTAAAATATCTGGATCTTTTTATTACCATATTTAGTCTCTATATCTGGCAATATATCTGGCAATATTATATTCTTTTATTTCCAGCTAGGTTTTCAAGTTATATATTTCTACTAATTATAGCAAGGGATTTTACGTGTATAAAATAGAATTCCTTTATGTCTTTCTACCAGTATGTTACTCAATGACTCGAGTCTTGGTGTGTCGTTGGTAAGTTCGGTTAAATATCATTCTTTCATGTAAATCATGTAAATGTCCATCATCTGTAAATAAAGTCAAGAAGTTTTACCAGCCTCTCAGAGTTCTTTGTTAGGATCTGTCAGGTTTTACTCTTCTTTCAAACAGAGCTAGTGTTGTCCCTTTAAAAGTCACATAGTTTTCTCTTCTTCGATGTCACTCCAAACTTTGCCAAAATCTTTGTTTCTCTTTCCCAGAAATTCCTATAATGGTTTCTTCTTCGTTGTTTATCAGTTCTTTTTCTTTCAGATCTCTTGATGCCTGTCATCAAATTGTACATGACCTGCCCGTTTTCCAGAAAAGATTCTAAGTTTCGCCGGCGGTGGTGATTGGAACTTAATCCCCTTTTCTTTAAGAATTTTTCCTATTGGAGCAAAAGCCCGTCTTTTCTGTTGGAATTCAGGTGGGTAATATTGGTCAAAGAAAATCCTTTTTTCGTTCCACTGTATTACTTTCTTTATCCATGCAAAGTGGAAAACCAGGTCCTTTGTTTTGTTTTCCAGTAAGAATACCAACGCTGATCTAGGGTGTGCGTCAGCAGGTTGTTTTGGTCCGAGTACCCAGTGACACCATTGGATTGTAAGGTCCAATTCATCAAGTGACAGTTCGTTTTGCAATGAAATGCAATGCTAGCTGACGGGCTATTAGCTATCCTGTCCGTCTCTAATTTTTCATCTGTTGATTTCTCGTTTTTTTCAGGTTTCAATGGTTGTTTTGTCCTAGCCTTTTTGTTTTTGTCCCCCTTCATGTTATTTAAATATGGTTTTGGTTATTACATATGATGTAAAAAGAAGGATTAATACCAGTGTGTATGGGAGCGCTCTTTCTATGCTGCTACATGTGTTAACGCCATACTGGAAACCATCCCATGTGTTTCTTAAGCTGCCCCGAATGAGTAAAACTCTGCACACACTGATCATGTCTACGGTTTTTCTCCAGTGTGAATCCTCTAATGTGTTCACAGGGTTCCTGAGTGATAAACCTCTTACTGCAGAGTGAACACTTGTACGGTTTTTATCCAGTGTGAATCCTCTGGTGCTGTTTCAATTCTGCAGCAGTAATAAAAGTCTTCTCGCACTCCAAGCACATTTACTCTCTCACACCAGTGTGGATCTTCATGTGTTTTTTAAGGTGTGATGAGTGGGTGAAACTCTTCCCGCACCGAGTGCATGTGAATGATCTCTTTCCCGTGTGGATCCTAATGTGTTTATTAAGGTATGATGATTGGTTGAAACTCTTCCCACACTTAGTGCATGTAAATGGTTTTTCTCCAGTGTGGATCTTCATGTGTCTATAAAGTGATGATGATAGGCTGAAACTCTTCCCACACTGAGGGCATGTGAATGGTTTCTCTCCAGTGTGGATCTTCATGTGTCTATAAAGCGAGGATGACTTGCTGAAACTCTTCCCACACTGAGGGCATGTGAATGGTTTCTCTCCAGTGTGGATCCTCATGTGTTGATTAAGGGATGATGATTGGCTGAAACTCTTCCCACACTGAGTGCATGTGAATGGTTTCTCCCCAGTGTGGATCATCATGTGTTGATTAAGGTGTGATAAGTGGCTAAAACTCTTCCCACATTGAGTGCATGTAAATGGTTTATCTCCAGTGTGGATCCTCATGTGTAGATTAAGATTTGATGATTGGCTAAAACTCTTCCCACACTGAGGGCATGTGAATGGTTTCTCTCCAGTGTGGATCCTCATGTGTAGATTAAGATTTGATGATTGGCTGAAACTCTTCCCACACTGAGGGCATGTGAATGGTTTCTCTCCAGTGTGGATCCTTATGTGTAGATTAAGATTTGATGATTGGCTGAAACTCTTCCCACACTGAGGGCATGTGAATGGTTTCTCTCCAGTGTGTATCCTCATGTGTTGCTTAAAGGATGATAATTGGCTGAAACTCTTCCGACATGGAGTGCACTTGAATGGTCTTTCTCCAGTGTGGATCCTCATGTGTTGATTAAGGTTTGCTGAGTGGCTAAAACTCTTCCCACACTGAGTGCATGTGAATGGCTTTTCTCCAGTGTGAATCCTCAAGTGAATCTTCAGTTTGCTTTTGATTGCCAAACTCTTTCCACACTGAGTGCAGGTAAAACAACTCTTGTCTCTCACTTTTAAAATACCATCAGTCTCTAAATGAGTTTTGTCCTCAATCTTGACATGATGTTCCTCCTCTTTACTCTCCTCATAGTCTTCAATTAGGTCTGAAAAAAAAAGTTAAGTTTTTAGTAAATCATTAAAGCTCATCGAAAGCTGAAGTAAAAGGGCTCTAACACATTGGCTACACAAACCTTAATTTTAATGCACATTAAATGTAAAGACATAGCAGATCATATTTAGATTAATCTTGTCACATCAACCTCCTGGGGTCCATTACACTGTCACCAACTCGGTCCCAGTCATTCCCCTCGTTGGCCAGCAGAGGCCGCCATCCCCAGACTTCTAGCATTACATCATCCACCTAGACTGATTGTGCACACACCTGAACTGAATCTCGGTAATGACCCACGCCACCTATATAAGCCACACTCAAACCACTGTTCAGTGCGAAATCTTGTTTAGCCCCGGCCAGCATTACTGAGCGGTCTTTCCTGCCTGATCTCCTGTACATTACCACGGACTGTTTCTGACTCTGAATTGCCTTCTGCCTGCCCACGACCCTTGGTTGTTACACGGACTCTGAACCACGCTGCCTGCCCACGACCTACGCCTGTCATAAGGACTCTGAGCCACGCCGCCTGCCACTGATCTATGCCTGGTAAATCACTCTGTCTGTTAGCCGCCAGCCCCACAACCTTTATTGATTACTGTTGATGTGTGTTCGCACTTTAGTGCGTGTTGGATGTTTGTGTTTGACTGTGTCTAATAAATACTGCAAAATGGATCCCTCCATGTCAGTCTCCCTGTTACATACACACATGCACATTTAAGTGTATTCTTATATGATTTATCCCAGATCATTTTTGGTCATATTGATGAGACACAAATTTGAAAGCTGTAAATGGCCAGTTTTTTCATTTTGTATACATTCGTAATCACTCAAAACAACATGTTTTTGTAAAGCAGATAGGGAATGTTTTTCATTCTGTGCCTGAATGGTAAACCTGTCAAAAAAAACAGCTGAATCTCTGAGTATTTGCCTCCATAGACATGAGACATATCTGCATAAAGCCTGCACCTTTGAATGACAAATGTTCTAAGGGTTAGTAATCTACAGTGCAGAATTCTAATACTTAACAGTCTCAGATCATCAAACAAATGTGAATATTGATTAAAGAGAACACAATTAAACACATTGTGCAGTTTTTAAGGTTTTTATTCTTAAAAGGAAGACAAAGTACTGAACTACATAGCCTTGTGTGAAAATGTTTTTCCCCATTAAAACCTAACTTAACTTTTTCACACCGGCTTCAAGTTCTCTAGCCACACCCAGACCCGATTACTACCACATGTTTGCAATCAATAAATCACCTAAATAGGATGTGTCTGACAAAGTGAAGTAGACCAAAAGAGCTTCAAAAGCTAGACATCATGCCAAAACCTAAAGACCTTTAAACACAAATGAGAAAGAAAATACTTGTCACAAGGAAAAAAGAAGTGAACTCAAATGCAGAAAAACAATGTGTTTGGGGAGTGAGTCCTGGAATAAGCAAAAGTCAAAGTAAACATCTGGTCGAGTGAGCACTGAGAAAGTGCCGTGGGAGAAAACAACCAGACACTCACTCACTAGCATTCCTGCACACGAATACAGGGTGAGTAACAAAATAATATGCACACAAATGATCGATAACATACTGACAAACATGAAGGGAAATGATGTTGTATAAACAGGAAAAAAGGGAAACGAGAGCTCCTGTGACCCAGAACAGGAGAAGAGAGCAAATCTGTGAGGCATGGTGACAGTACCCCCTCCCTCAAGAATGCCCCCTAGCATTCCCTTAAGACTCACTGTGGACCTATTTAAACTGATCAATGAGAGAGCGGTCCAGAATATCCAAAGCCGGAATCCAACATCTCCCCTCTGGACCATAACCCTTCCAGTATACCCGATACTGATAATCTTTCTACCTCTCCTCCTCACATCCAGGAGCCAGTGCACTGTGTATGTGAATGCACCCTCAACCAGTCTGGGACGTAGAGTAGCAGAGGTTATGGGCTGCAGGGGGGAGAGAAGAATGGGCTTGATCTTAGACACCTGGAAAAAACGGATGAATGTCTTTAAACTTAGAGCTTAATTTGAACAAACACTAGACTGAGCACCTTGATAACAGAAAAAGGTCCAATGAATTTGGGTCTCAATTTATGTGAGGGAAAGCTGAGAGGAATGCCTTTGGAAGATAACCAGACTTTCTGACCACACATATATAGAGGGGGCAAACGCTGAATTTCTATTGCTAGTCCTTTTCTGGTGATCCTTCATGTCTAGAGGCATCTCTGAATGAACAAATGCATGAGGAAACAATGGCATCTGGTTCTTGGGAAGAGAATACGCTTATTTCACATGGCCACCATTTTAAACGAAAAACCATTTTAACGAAAGCTAGGCTGAGGTGGGAAAACACATGGAAGTATAGGATCAGCACTGTAAACATTGCAACAACTTGCGGTGGACTACAAACCTCCAGCTGTTGCCGCGATTTCAAAATGCAGATGATGTAAACATCACTTTAACATCATTTAGTTCAGTTTAATTTAAACACTTAAAAGCAAATTAAGCATCAAATAAAATTACAATCTCTTTAAGAGTAATACGCTTAAGTGTCCTCCTAGGATTCAGTTCACGGCACCAGGTAAACACTGTGGGGACGATTCCTTGCTTCGGCCTAAGTAACTGGGTGAGCGATATAACACCCTCGTGTTGTATGTAATAGAATTGTTCCGGTACTGAAGTTTTAAAAAATGGGATTTTAAAATGGGATTTTAAAAACATTTCCCGCTAACGTTTAGGTGCCGCTGAGCGTGTTCTTAAACAGCGCTGATTTGCCATAGTGTTCACTGGTGCCCGTTAAAAATGACTGTGATTAAGATATACAGCCAGGTACACAATGATCCTGTGCGACTCCAGGCGATACTTCCAGGTTTCTTCCCAACACAGCCTTGACACTGCTTTTAAAATGGCAGACACATAAAATCAGTCTACACAGAGGAATGGTAGTCTAAGCAGCACTGATAGGGAGACAAGCCCATAGACAAGATAGGAAGAGAGTTTTATGCATATTTGACCATGGTTAATCTAGACCTACAAGATAAGGGTTCCCTGCATGCAACGCAATGCAGGACCCTCTCCAGCTGCAGACTAGCTTGCTTGGCCTGGCCATTGGTCTGTGGGTGGTGCTCATGAGAGGCTAGCAGTCGCCCCTAGCTGTCGGCAGAATTCTGCCCAAAACCTAGATACAAATTGCAGACCCCTGTCTAGAACCATGTCAACTAGGAGGCCAAGAATACGGAACATGTGGTCCAAGACAATGGCTGCTGTTTCCCTCGATGAAGATTATTTGAGGAGTGAAATAAAGTGAGCTGCTTCAAAAATCTGCCCAATACAGTGAGGACTACTGTGTTGCCACTGAATGGTGGTAACCCAGTGACAAGCCAACAAAAACTGACCAGTGTTCCACACCATTGAGAGCCACCAGAACCATTAGCCCCATTTCCACTATCGCACCAAAAGCGAGGGAGCCCAGGCCAGTCGCGTTTCCACTGTCACTTCCAGGGCCTGATCAGGCTAAAGCTGGGCTTCTGTGGAGCGAAATGTAGGCTATAGCCTATTTTATTACTTGCCCTTATGTCCTGAAACACTTAACACTCTCCTTTCCTTTCGTTTTTAAATAAATTGCTCTTAGTCATTATATTTTCTAAACTTGAGGCCCTGGTATACTGAAAACTAACTGTCTTGGAGCTCCACCTTCCTTGATGTGTGGTGTCTTCCCAGTGATTTGTTTCTCATTCAGGGAGTAAGAAGGAGAACATCATCCAAAACAACACTAGCTACATGAATACACTGGAGAGTGGAGTACAGATGTATCCGCACCTGTACAATCACTTGCAAAGAGAGATTTTAAGCCGCTGAGATGCTGTTTGTCAGATGTTTATGAAACTATTCTTCTCTCAGCCGCTAGCAATGTTTACGGTAAACGAGATGAGCGCAACACATTTACAACCCCACCTACTGCAGTGTAGGAAAACAGTATACCATCACTCAGCCTTTTCAAACATTATTCAGACATGAAACATCCTGTGCTTGTTTTGCTGCATTCAGGTCATGTGTGCAACTTTTTGTCCAATTGTAAAGACACTGATCAGATCTGTACGGTTTCTCTCCAGTGTGAATCCTCTTTTGTGTTTTCAGATCTGTTAACTGATTAAACCTCTTGTCACAGTGTGAACACTTGTAGGGTCTCTCCAGTGTGAATCGTCTGGTGCAGTTTAAATTTGAGCTGTAATAAAAATTTTCTCACATTCAAGCACATATACTCTTTCACACCAGTGTGGATCTTCATGTCTACATTAAGGTTTGCTCATCAGTTGAAACTTTTCCCAACACACTGAGTGTATGTGAATGGTCTTCAGTGTGGGTCTTCATGCGTTTATTAAGGTCTGATGAGTTGCTAAAACTCATCCCACACCAAAGCTGCAATTACACTAGAGTTTGAGCATGAGAAATTCTTTTGTACGTTGCTGCGAAAAGGGGCGGGATTAAACAAAATGATTAGACATAAATGGTTTCTCTTCAGTGTGGCTCATCATGTGTCGCTTAAGGGATGATGATTGGCTGTAATTCCTCCCACACTGAGTGCATGTGAATGGTTTCTCTTCAGTGTGGATCCTCATGTGTAGATTTAGGTCTGATGAGCAGTTAAAACTCTTCATACACTGAGTGCATCTGAATGGTTTCTCTCTAGTGTGGTTCCTCATGTGTTGATTAAGGTTTGATGAGCAGTTAAAACTCTTCCCACACTGAGTGCATGTGAACGGTTTCTCCCCAGTGTGGATTCTCATGTGTTGATAAAGGTTTGATGAGCTGCTGAAACTCTTCCCACACTGAGCGCATGTGAATGGTTTCTCTCTAGTGTGGATCCTCATGTGTTGATTAAGGTGTGATGAGCAAATAAAACTCCTCCAACACTGAGTGCATGTGAATGGTTTCTCTCCAGTGTGGATCCTCATGTGTAGATTAAGGTACGATGATTGGCCGAAACTCTTCCCACACTGAGTGCAAGTGAATAGTTTTTCTCCAGTGTGGATTTTCATGTGTAGATTAAGGTGTGATGATTGGTTGAATCTCTTTCCACACTGAGTGCATGTGAATGGTTTCTCTCCGGTGTGGATCCTCATGTGAGTCTTAAGAATGTCTTTTCTTTTAAAACTCTTTCCACACTGAGTGCAGGTGAATTGATTCTTGTCTCTTCTTTTCAAAATATCATCAGTCTGTAAATGAGATTTTTCCTCAATTTTGACATGATGTTCCTCCTCTTTACTCCCCTCATTCTCTTCAATTAGGTCTGAAATAAATAAATAAAACATTAGTTTCCATTAAGTCTTAAAAACTATCAAAAGTGAAAAGACACTGGAAACATTGGCTACACACACTGTAATTTTAATGCACATTAAATGTAAATAAATCAGATCATATTTTGTTTGGTCCATTAACATGTACACATTTAAGCAGATTCAATTCATCTTTATTTATCTAGTGCTTTTACAATGTAAACTGTCAAAGCAGATTAACATAAAAGTTATAGTAAATGGGCTCTATGCACAAACTCTGCTGACGTGTTTCCGGTAGAATATCAGTCAGGCTCTTCCGCATAGCGAAATCGTTCTACAGTGAAATCTAATAGCGGTGAAACCTAAACAAATCAGAGCATGGCAAAGAAGGAAGATTGAAGGATCTAGTGCCAGTGGATGCTCAGCATCTGAAACATCATTATTGTTGATTAATACACCAGATCAGACTAATAATCACAGTGAAGAGGTAGAGTAACTGAAAGGAGACTGCTTCAATGCTACTTTTAGTGATGTTAAAAGATTCTAAAGGTACAGTAAAAATGATGTACTAGAATTTAACCCAGATGAAAGTAGTAACAAGTTGTAATTGTATTTTATATAAAATATTAAATTTTTAACCATATTATAGTAAATTATATTATACTGTATATACTGTATACATGCATATACACACCCACATCAAACATTCTAGTATCATATAAGAGGTCAATAACAAACTAAAACAAATATGTTAAGCACAAGTCTTTATACTCAAAGCCAAATGCATTTCTATCTGATTTATTCATTTACATCCTACAACATCTAGAGTAATGCGTTCAGAGTAAGAGCAACTGTGAGGGAGAAGCCATCCTTCACAAGACTATAGGTCCACACTGAGCATCTCATCCACAGGGTGAAGCAACAAGCTGGACAGTCATCATCTCTTTCTATTACAGCGAGCATCAACCAGATTTACACAATGGCTTACCTTCTGCCCATCAGTAAAAGTTTAAGCTAAAGATTACAAACATAAATAACAGAACAATTTGAGTGAACATTTGCTCTGCACTAATGTAAATATATAAATCACTGTAGATACTTGCACTAATGTAATTATGCAGAGTTTATTGTGCAGAATTTTGTGATGTACCACCTCCGCCTTCAAGCAAAAATCAGGCAGGCAACTTCTGTCAGACCCCCAGTGATGCTCAATAATGCAAAATGCATTTGTTTCAAGTAGCAAAAATGTAACAAATGGGATACCCTCTTAAACAAATTTTCAACAAGGAAAACCCCAAACTATCTAAATATAAGTAATTAGACATTTGCACTGCAGCATAAATATAAATAATTTTTTTGACACGTGTAAATTTGACAATTTTAAACAAAAAAAGTTGTGTGAGTGTGTTTGTTCAAATCTGCAGTCATCTTGACAGGTAAAAGTAAAAAAAAAAAAAAAAAGTTTGGCTTCCCCTGAAACAATTTGATGTTATTGTAGATGAGCTGGATCCCGAGTATAAATAACCATCCCGAGTATAAATAACCTTTCACTCAAACTTTGCAGCTTATCTGACTTTACTATCAGCCTGAAATGCTGATCTCCCGTCACTCCACTCTTATAGGACAGTTAGAAATAACCCATAGTAACGTTCATACTTATGGATATTAAGGACACAATGTCCACATACATGTAAATAGATAAACAGACTGATGGATAGAAATGATACAGGTAATTAAAACAACATAAAAATCAATATGAACTATGAGAAAAACAGATACGGCTAGCATTTAATTGCTTTTCTTATATATAGCATAATAATACTCACCCTCAAAATGATCGATGCAACTCGAAATGTAGAATTTTAACCCCTTTTCTTCTTTGCTGTTTGGTGTGACAGCTCTCTGTCTCACGATTCCATTATTGTCCTTCATGGTATTGCAAGGAAACTTATAAACAACGAGTGTAATCTATCATCATCAACTGCGCCATCCGCTTACAGTGATCGCGGTGCTGTACCAGAAGTTGACATGAGGGCTAATCACAAACGCGGAAGAGATCTTGCATAGAGTCCATTAAAACTGTGTCAGTCGAGGGGGCGCTGCCGAGCGTGATGGAGTAAACACGTGTTTTCAGCGCTCCTATATAATCTTTAAAAATTGTTATATTAACAGCTGTTTAATGTCTGGGAATGAACAGTATTTGTTCTTGCAAACAAACAGAAGACCACGTTGATTAAATACAGTCAAGGATGGCAGCGAATCTCCATAAATACAAGTATTCTGGCCCTACCACCGTTGTGACGATACAAATACTGTCTTCGAGAAGATAAAGGCGGACATTCTCTGCTCCTTAAGAGTGGACAAATGATCTGTAATAACGAAAAAATTGAAGAACGCATTGACAAAGGATTTTGATGCACTTAAATCTGAACTACAGGCTATGAGACCCGAAATCTTGATTAATGCCAAAGCTGTGCGTTCTGAAATTGACCAAAGAAAAGAGAACATTAAGGATGTAGAGGGAGGACTCTCAACTTGGTTAGACGAGATGGTCACTCTCCAAGCAACTGTAACTAAACTCACAAGGCACGTTGACGACTTAAAAGAAAAATGTGAAGATATGGAAGGGCGCATGAGAAGGCGGAAATATGCGCGTTACTGTAATCTCCGAGCTCCCAGGATCAAAACTACAGCAGTATTCAAACTGCTAAAAAAAGTGCTTCAAATGAACAGAGATGTCAAAATTGACCACTCACATCATAGCCTTGTTCCAAAAAGGCCAGGGGACAAGCCTTGTACCATAACCGCAAAGTTACATTACAATATAGATGCCGTGGAGATCTTACAAAAAGCCAGAGAACGCGCACGGCTCATTTACAACGTTAATCAAATCACCATCTTTCAGGATTACGCCGCCAATGTTGCAGGGGCAAGAGCAGCCTTCACTGATGTCAGGAGAGCTCTTCGGGGGCGACAGGACAAGCAATATGGACAGCTTTTCCCGGCAAGGTTCCGAATTTCACACAATGGAAAAGAAAAGTGGTTTCATTGTGTCCGAGGCAATGGATTATTTGAAAAAGAAAATCATATCTGACAATCAATCTAATAGTTGACACTTATTCTACTTGAAGATTACAACACTAAACAATAAGTATCCTGCCTTCAAACTTATTAGGTGATAATCCACTCTCGACTCCTTACGTTGCATTTGACTGATCCTTACAATTGATTTTTATGAGGTATGAGGTATTTGTTTTCTTCCATGGTATGAACAGATTAGCTAACTTTATACAGCAGTTTTTATGCTTGGAAAAACACGTGTCTGTTTATGAAGCTGTTTATTTTGAGTTTCAAAAATTATGGTTCTGTAGGAGTCTGAAACACTGCGTACGCCGAATAACACGCATATTCTCGTACATTCGAATGAACGTGAAACTGAGTGCAACACGGAAGAGCGCAAAACCCCTCCTTGCCTCCTCCCCCGAATGAATATGCTAATGACTCTACTTTGGCAAAACCCAACAAAAAAGCAACGGCAAAAGCAAGCAAAAAGAGAAACTTTGAATAGAATGTTAATTGGAGGTGCTGCTTTCGGAGGTAGACCGGAGAAAAACGTGTTATTTGCAAGTTTGTTCTCCGGAATTAATAACAAAAGAAAAAAAATAGAGTGGGACAGTTGAGCTGATGCTGTTAACACAGTTAAGTTTGAACATAGCACTGAGTGGGTTAAAAAAGAAAAAGTGAGATTTATAGGTTTAAAATTTTGCAGTGTCCTTAACGGTGTGAGTGGCGTAGCTTGTAAAACGCATGGTAAAATGTTTTGACACATTCGAGCAAGAACTCAGTTTGAATCCAGCCTCTGATGAACTCAAAATAATAAAATCTCAATCTTCAGAACTTGGACCTGTGGACGTATGGCGAAGCAATTTTCCAAATCACAAAGACTTCACATTCTATTAACATAGCCATCAGTCTTACTCCAGAATAGATTATTTTTTCACTTCCAGAGATAAGCTGCACAGAATAACTAGCATAAAGATATTACCGATGACCACGTCGGACCATTTACCAATAGAAATATTATGGGACTTAGGTAATAAGCATACTTCCAAACAATGGAGACCTAACACTTCGCTCCTCAATGATAATGAATTTATTTCATTGATCACAAGTGACCTTAAATTAAATTAAGTATAAATGACACCTCAGACGTATCTCCACTAATTGTATGGGACTGCGCAAAAGCATATACTAGAGGTAGGCCTAGAAAAACAGGGTATCAGTATATTGTAAGCCCATAGGTTCAAATAATCCTTTCCAGTCATCTGTGTGTTTTGTTTTCTTGGAGTTTCAGTGCACTTTACTGATGCGTATCTAAAAACAGTTCGCGGAGAGAAAAAAGAGAGAATGCTTTTTGGCATTATAATATTATACAGTTAATGACGGTATGTAAGAGTCTATATGTTGTTCTGAGTTTGTATGTTGAGCGGTCTACAAACTTTGTGTTTAAGCTGGCCTCTGCTGATGAAACTGCAAACTATCTACAGTAAACTTTCTTTTAATTGAATCTCTGAATCCTGCTCTTTATCTGATAGACTTGGTGTCATGGCTTTGCGGTTAAAAAAATGTGGTTATAATGAAAGTCAATGGGTCAAAAACAGCCAAGAACATAATGAAAGGGTATAGGGCTGCACAATTATCATATTACTATCATGATAACGATATTTGTGGTCCACAGTCAATAATTAAATATAGTCATGATTTTACAGTATAAACACCCAGCCATTATTTTAATGAGTGGAGTTTACAGATTGTAGCACAACACAAGCATGAGGTGACTGTGTCTA